AGGATGATCATCAGTCTCTTCAGTCAGTGCTGTCTTGCATTTTGTAGTGAACCTGGCTATCACTTGTATTTGTCTCTTTCTCTTAAAGAATAGATGAGTCACTACAACTCTTTCTGCCTCTTAATTATGGCTTAAAAGATTATAAATACGTTTACCTCTTTTATACATGTGGCTATATAAATTTCTTTTATAATCATTTCTGAATTTTGTTGGAAATTTTGCCTTTCATATTAAAATGTAAAACATTCTGTTCATACAGAGGACTGTATGTAATAAGTGTGTTATATACTTCTAATAGAATGATGTGTATGTGTCCCTTCTCTCAGCTTAAGTGGCACAGAGTTAGCCCTGCCCTCTTACATCTCCCTACAGCTCCTCCTGTCTTGCTTCTGTCCCCAGAAAACCATTAGCCTCAACTCTGCTTTTTTCTTTTGCTTTTCGAAGCGACTTAGCAGCAGCAGCAGTATAGTTACATGTGTTCATGTATTGTTAATTTTATTTTTGAACTTTATATAAATAGTATCACTTCGTGTGTATGTATACATATATGTATTTGTGTGTATATACATATGTTTGGCAGCTTAGTAAAATTTTTTAGTTAAACTAAAACCCATGAATGTAATTTGCATATAAAGTTAGTATCTTTGCCTTTTGTATTAGTCATCTTTTGCTGGCATAATGCTGTGTAACAAGTCACTGTGAAACTTCAGTGACGTACAGTGACAGACATTTATTTCTAGCTCATAGGTTTGGCAGTTTCTGCTGGGTGTGGCTGGGTTTGGTTATGTGCTCGGCGTCTCCTCATTCTGGGACCAGCAGAGACTGGGGTGCAGGGTGGGAGTACAGAACGCAGCTCAGAGCTCGGAAAGCCTTCAGTTAGAACTGGGGCAGTTCTGCTCACGTTCCTATCTGTCGTGTCCCCAGGCCCTCAAATCCACGAGGTGGGGAGTATCCCAGGATGACAAGTGATAGAAGGCATATGAACAAAAGATAGTGTCTGCTTCATCTTCCTCCTAAAAAGCAGTATAAGAGACTTGGAATAGTGCCATTCCTGTTATGGTACCTTCCTCCTAGATTACATGCTGTTTTTGTTCAGTACTTTAGGTTTGTTTGCTTTTATAACTCATCATTTCAAAATTATACCACTAATATTTGCATGTACCCATTTTTACGGTTCTCTTTTCTCACCATTCTTTCCTGTATTTCAGACTTCTTTTTTTGGCATCATCTTCCATCTTTATGAACTACAGTTTTGGAAGCATCCTTAATGATGATCTACTTATAGTATATTTCCTCAGCTTACGTCTGAATTTTCATTATTTTGCCCCTTTTCTTGAAAAAATAGTTTAGCTGAGTTGGTACCTAATTACAGCTTAAAACTTATTTTCTCTTGGAACTTTGGTGATACTGTTCCAGTGTCTTCTGGCTTCCATGGTTGCAGTTGATCAGTCAGAGTCTGATTGTTGCTTTGTACGGTCTGCTTTTCTTTCTGGTTGGATTTAAGAACTCTTTGTCATCGATGATTTGCAGTTTCACTGTGATATCTCTAGGTGTCCGTTTCTTTCTTTTCTGTTTTAAATTTATACCTCTTGGAACGTGCTGAACTTGAATCTGTTTCACATTAATGTGCAGCCATCACCATTCATCTCCAGAACTTCTTTAATCTTCCCGAAATGAAACTTCACCCATCAAGTACTAACTCCTCATTTTCTGTTCCTCCAACCCCTGGCAACCGTGATTCTTCTTTCTGTCTCTGTGGATTAGACTTCTCTAGGTCCCTCGTGTAAGTGGAATGTAGAGTATTTGTCCTGTTCTCCATGGCTGCTGCTCAGGCATGTCCGACTCTTTGAGACCCCATAGACTCTAGCCTGCCAGGCTCCTCTGTCCGTGGAATTTTCCTGGCAGGAATACTGGAGTGGGTTGCCATTTCCTACCCAGGGAATCTGCCCAACCCAAGGATCGAACTTGTGTCTCTCGTGTCTCCTGCATTGGCAGGCGGATTCTTTACCAATGTGCCACCTGGAAAACCACTTTTCCTACTATGACTTGCTTATTTCACTTAGCACAGTATCTTCAAGATTAAATCTGATTTTTAAAAAATTATACTTTGTGATGAGATTAAAAATGAAGATCACATCAGCTTTTAGTGGATATTGGGATTTTTTGTGTATTCTCTTTTTAAGAAAAGTTATCGTACAATGAAATAAGTTAATATTAATTTGATCTCTGGGAAGAATACTGTTAGAGACAGTAGTATGTGATCCTGTATGTTGTGATTTATAATTCTGTTAAATTTAAGTTTTAAGTGACCAAGAGTGACGGGAATTATTTTTAGGTCATGTTTGGTGCCTACAGTAAAGAAACGCGTATGGTGGAATTTCTTTCCTTTAACTAGAACCTGAGTTCCCTGAGTATGGGTCACAAAAGTTGGAGGAGTCACTTGAAAGTACCCCTGGCTCAAGTTCCTGTAAAATGCGTTGAAAGGCCAGCTTTTGCAGAAGTACCCCAATAATGCCTTTTATGTGAAACTGTGGATTTGAAACAAAGTACTCTTTCCCTCTTAGATGGTGTGAAAAACAACATGTAAGATTCTTCTTTCTGCTTTGTATGTCCAGGCGATAGCATTTACAGGAGGAGAAAGGAAATCTGAAAATGTTATCTTGTGCTACTAAACTGCCTCATTGCTGAAAAGAATTGGTAGTCCACCTATTTGTGCACAAAGGGTTTGCATTTCAAAGCTGTGATTGGCATTAAGAGCCTTGAATACGTGACTTCAGTTGTAAGTAATTTAAAAATATGTTTTCTAAGAACTGCTCCATGACATTAATTCCAACTCATGCATGGTTGCATATTTGTCAAGTACATTTATCACTTCAGATGATAAGGTTATAAATTCAGTGTTTATAAGTTTTACTGTCCTGTTTCTTTTGAGGTTACTATTTTTGGTGCTGAGAAAACTCCTAATGTCTGAGGAACCTCAGTCCTTAAATAAGTATTTATTGGCAGTTCATAACTATGGGTAGGAAGGGTGCATGGCTTAGTACAAAGTGCTTTGATGTTGCCATTTAGGAATTTTAAATTTAAGATAAGAAACTTCGATATAAATATGAACAAAGAGAGCAGTCCCGAGCAGAGAGAGCAGTCCCCACAGGTGTGAGTGAGCTGCGTGTGAGCTCCCAGGTCCTCAGCGTGTGGTCTACTCTGTGTCACAGGACTGAGCCCCGGCCACCCTGTGACACCAGGAGGCCTGCCCCACCTCCTAGTCTCCTGGGTGGGCTTGGTGAAGCGCCAGGAAGACAGTGTTTTCATGGTGAGACCCTATTGTCATGTGGATTATTTTAGATTTTTCCATACAGCTTCTCATTTTGGGGAGAATAATTGGGTTATCTGGAAATGGAAATCATTTCATAATATCCAGTGCGAGATGCAGGCCAGGCCATGTGGGAAGGGGGCCAGGTGATCATGCAGCGCTCCCTGCAGTGATAGGCCATGGCTGATGAGAGCACGTGGACCCTGCTGGCATCCAGGATTGGGCATCCTTCTGTAGGTTTTTTTTCTGCTTTCATATATTATGTGGTGTGAGTCAAGATGAGTTAGAGATGGGGCTAGCCTAATTTCTTCAAAAAACGTTTCTCGAACTGTAATCTGTTTCAGAAGCAGAGGTCCTTACTATTGTGCTGTTTTCTTAATTGACTTAGAACATCATCACCCCTTCTTGTGATCCTGAGAGGTAGCTGATCAGCTTATGAGGGCAGCTCCACATGACTGAGCACTAGTGTACATTTTGTATAGAATCTGATGTTATCTGGTTTGTGGAAATTCATGTTAGGTTCAGGGAGACACTTGTGCATCCATGGTTCCTTTGTGCCTCATTTTCTTTAATATATTATCAAAAAGGAAAGTGAAGTTGCTCAGTCGTGTCCAACTCTTTGCGACCCCGTGGACTGTAGCAGACAAGGCTCCTTCGTCCGTGGGATTTTCCAGGCAAGGGTACTGGAGTGGGTTGCCATTTCCTTCTCCAGGGGATCTTCTTGACCCAGGGATCAAACCCGGGTCTCCCATATTGCAGGCAGATGCTTTACTGTCTGAGCCACCAGAGAAGCCATATTTTCAAGAGGAAGATTTATGATTACCTCCTAACAAAGGGTTAACTTTATAATAATACAGGGTGATGCATTAAGTTTTACTCAACTGAAGAGAAGCAGATACAGAATTTTGTGTGCAGTATTTATAAAAGTACACTTTAAAAATATATACAGAAAATTCCTGGAAAGGAGACATGTCACAAATGATTGGGTAGATGTAGTGGCATTGTACTTTTGAGATAATTTTTTCTTTCTATTTATCTGTTTCCAATTTTTTAAAACAATGAAGCCGTATTACTTTGTAATGAAGAAAAGGCCCATTATTAGAGGAAGTATAGTAGTAAATGGTAATTTTTATTTGATGGTGTATATAACTCATTTATGTGCAGTCAAAATACATTGAGCAGGTGTGATGTGTTTAATTTACCCAAAATGGGGTGCTTTCTTCCTATGACTTATTTATGTGGCGATGGAGGAGGGAACTGAAGAAAAATTAATAAGTTTCTGTGGTAACAACTTTATACATATTATTTGCTTTTGAGGTAACTTCTTACAGAAAAAGGAAAATATGAACTAGCAGGTGTGATGTGTTTAATTTACCCAAAATGGGGTGCTTTCTTCCTATGACTTATTTATGTGGCGATGGAGGAGGGAACTGAAGAAAAATTAATAAGTTTCTATGGTAACAACTTTATACATATTATTTGCTTTTGAGGTAACTTCTTACAGAAAAAGGAAAATATGAACAGAATCATGATGTTCCAAAGGTTGATTGGTAATTCTTTACATTTAGATGATGTCAGAGTTTTTTTTTTTTTAATAGAAAATTTTTGCAAGTAAATTTTTATTTCCCTTCAGAAAATTTTAAATACTGACCTTTAGAAAATATGATTTCTTTCTCTGTTTTCTTCCCAGGACATGTATTCCTCTGAGAAACACTGGACAGCAGATTTGGGTGTAGTGCCTGATCGGGACCACATACAGAGACATCTCCAGTCATGGGTAAGTGTCCTAGGTAAATTGGAATTATGTCATTTCATCAGTGATTGAATATTCTGGTGTGGCCCAATACTGTGCCTTTGTCTCTATTTAAAAGAAGGTAGTACTGTTTGGTGTTTGATTAATTCTAAGAAGTTAGATGTGAGGATCTCTGTGTCATTAGCTTCTTGGCTGACTTAGTTTACCACCTAAACTTTTCTATTGACTATTCATTGGAAAGTGGCTCTTTAGAAATATGAAGAGGGAAGATGGCAATTGACTGTAAGTAGCTGGGATTTTATTATGTGACATTTAATCATTGGGTAGCATGGGTTAATATTATTTAATCAAAGATATAGCAGTGTCTTTGGATCAAGGAACCAACTCTACCTTATATAGACTTATCTTTTGAATTAGATTTTATCTTCTCAGTTGTAAGGGGATAGAATATGTAATATTTTCTGTCATTCCTTTCTACGTCTGTTCATGAACAGGAGAACTAGATTTTACTGTTTTAACTGTTTACTTCTAGAGAGTGAGGAAAGAATTAAAGACTTTATCCTGATTGGAATCCTATGACAGTTTTGGTGTACTTTTAGAGTACAGCCTTTTTGGTAAGGGAAACTGGGATGAAGTGAATATTTTATTAAAATATAATAGCACAGACTTTAAAATTTTTCACATACTGATTATGTATTTACCTTGATAGGAATACAGTAGCTTTTCTCATCAATTAGAATAATCAGGCAAAAGTTGGTAAGTGAAAATGAAGCTGTTGTTATTGTGAGATCTTTGAGTACTTTCTACTAAAAGTAATATTGCAAGCTGTGGTCTTGGGTTTTGGAGACTTTTCAGTGGGTTACTTTTTTGGTGGTGTGCTTTGAATAAATAAGGATAGTTGCCACATGAGTTCAAATACAGATTAAGAAAGAAGCAGCTTTTGTTATTTCAGCTCCATTCATGTGAAATTTGGTGAGAATGTTTCTCTCTTGTAGAGTGCCAACTCTAGTTAAAGATGGTAGCATGAGTTCATGAACACTAAGAGCATTTTAATTTAAGAAATGCTTACTTTTTTTGAAATTTAAATTTTGTTCTACTTTGTAATCTTAGTGGTCTAGTAGTGTCACTTACAGATGGCAAGTTCTTTGAGGACAACGAATACCCAGGTGTCTTTCATTTTTGAATCTTGGAGTCTGACACAGCTGTCCCCCAAAACTCAGAGCCCTGTGAGCCTGAAGGTCGAGGGAGGGCTGGCTTACTAGGCATCTAATGATGAGTACTGGAACCACAAACAAACAAATTTTTATTTATAAATTACTATGGTTATACTTCATCTGCAAGATTTTTAATTGGTTCTTTTTTATATCCACTAGTTCATTTCTCATTTCTGCTTGTTTGTGTTTAAAATGTTTTCAGTTCTCTTGTTATTTATCTCTTTGAGGGTCTTTTACATGTTTACTTTAAAGTCTTTTTCAGGTCATTCAATGATTTGTTTTGTCTGCAGTGAATTTATGTTCTGGTTGTTGATGTTATTGGTGTCGACATCATGTTCTGTAATTTTGCAGGGACGGGAGTTTTCTTTTTCCTGTCTCTCTCTCTCTGATTTCCCCTGATGGTCTGGCTGTTTTGCCCTTGTCTCTGCCTGGTTTTAGAGTTCCCAGATCGAAATTAGGTCTTGTGTTAGTGGACCAGGCCCCGGCCCCAGTGACATTGGGGATATCACAGATTCGGTCACTGGGTCAGCTGGCATGAGGTCAGCTGTTCCCTAAGCTGTGGCCTCGGTGCAGTTAGCAGAAATCTTTTTCAGTCTAGTTCCCCAAACAAGGCAGACTGCCACCCCAGTGCCTGGTTTTCAGCAGAGTGCCTGCTGCTGACCCTAGTTCCCGTGGAGCCCTTGTTACCCCATCCAGTCGACTCATAGTTAGTCCCTGGGGACCCACTGCCTGCCTGCTGCCTTTTCCTGTCTGGGGCCCAGAGCCCAGCAGACCTTCTGGCCTTGCCTAGGCTCACACTTTGTGTTCCTGTGAGATTTCTGGTCCGTGGAGATGTTTGACTTGTTAGGGGCATAGGTAATGTCCTTTTGGTCATTTGTCTTTGTGTTTTATCGGTGATTTCTCAGTGTTTGTTGTGAAAACAGGGAGCTGCAAAGCATGAACAGTGCCATTGGGGGTTTAACCACTGGGATTATCATGAAGTCTCATATCCTTACGTCAGTTTCTGTTCGGTTCCCTGGATTGTAGAGCTCCTCTCCACCATCCATGCACCCCTTCACTCGCTGGAGGAGCCCCGGGGTGCTGCTTCTCCAGAGCCTGCCTCACTCTTGCAGCTGGCATCCTCCGGGAAAGTCGCTGGCCTGTTCACTCCAGTCTTCATCTAATCTCTAAACTCCTTCAGGGTGAATACTTATTCCTAAGGCTAGGCAGGGTTCCTGGCACTCAGTAGATGCTCAATAAGTAGTGCATGGATCTGAGTGTTCCTGTGTGACAACTTTACTGTGGGATAACTCTTCCGTGTGTTACTGTTCTTAGGTGAAGTTTGAGCTGCTCCCATGAAGTGTGTGTGTGTGTGTGTGTGTGTGTGTGTGTGAATAGGATAAAGCATCCCAGGGAGGGGAGCGCTGTGAGAAAGGCGTGGAGGTTTGACCACAGGAGAGTGTTGCTGAGAGTGACATCCTGGAGTGTAGGGCTGGGGAGGAGCTTGTGAGAGGTAAAGCCGGTGTAGACGAAATCAGGGTCCAGGCTGTACACATTTCGGGAGGTTTGGACCTAGGTTATAGTGCCCAGCTTAGGAACTGTTGAGGGACCTCAGTGAGGGGGAGTACTTAAGAGTTCATTCTGGGAAAATTACTCTGACAAAGAGACATTTTTGTTAGATACAAATTAAAAAGATGGGTTACAGGCAGTGTTTGCATTTCCTAGACTTGTTCTTAGTTTTCAGCTCTTTCCTTGCTCCCTTTGAAATAACACTTTGAGTCTCTTTTTCTTGCCAAATGGATTTTCTCTAGTTGGAAATCATTCTTGAGTCGATGATTGGAACCATAGGTTAGGGAATGTTGTCTTGGTCTTTGCTGTGCTGCAGTTTCCAGGAGCTTGTAAGTTTTCATAAAGGTGGGAGGGAACTGAGTAAATCAGAGTTCCTGTTTTTGAAAAAAATATTGGAGAAGATATGGTAAAATATGGTACAGGTTAAAAAATAGGAAGATATGTCATTAAAATCTAGATAGAATTTCCAAACCTAGATTTGGGTGAGATTGTTGGGTATAGAAATTTTGTCTGTTTCTCTAGAGATTACAAGAAAGATTGGGTACTTATATATACCTCTGTAGCATTTCCTAACCCTTCCCACGTCATGAACCATGTAGGACATGGTGGTGGTTGTACGGCATGTGGGATAAACTGATGGAGATGTTGGGGTCTTGGAGGCAGCCGGCTCTGACACTTCAGGCCAGGCCCGGAGATCAGTTTCTCTGTACATCCTGACACATGAATTGGGATGCCCCAATGTAAGGCCTAGAGAATTTGTTAAATGCTTTAGGAAGTTTTTTGGCATTTAGTCTAGATTTTTATATATTCTGTCAAGTTCTGAGGCTGAACATGTATCTTGTGAAATCTGTTGTGCTGCTATGATGTGCATTTCATTGTGAATTGTTAGCTTTGTTACAATCGACAAAAAGCATTTTGATTTTTCAGTACTTAAATTTTTCTTAATTTTCTATATTTGCCATGTTTAGCATTTACTAGATTCATTAAACATTTTATCAGATAGTGCCAAAGATGAAATAAAACTGTTATATTTAAAGTCTGGCTATAATTTAAAATGGATTTTTTAGATCTTTGATGGAGATTGTAACAGAATAGTTTGTGTAAAGATCAGTGCTTAATAATTTCTAGATGATTATTTTGATTAAATGTTTTTAAAAAAGCCAAAAAAGCAACAAAAACCAAAAGTGGTAATTTAGGGTATTACTTGTTTTTCTTTTCCCAAGTTTCAAGTTAAAAAGATAAAGTTTATCCAGTCTGTTTTAAATTTTTAAATCTTTACTTCTGTGTTTATTTCACTTTATTTGGAAAAGTTTTGCTCTGTGAGTAATTACATGACATGTTTCCTAAGAGAGTCTTTTTGGATGTTGACTGGGCAATCCAGGAGTGAATCTATTGTGTTGGAGTGTTTGATTCTGCCCTTTGGCCTAAATAGTGGAGTGAGTTTTTTGAGTCACTTCTGAATATGAAATATTTCTCTTTTATCTGAAGAAAAAGTAATGGTGGTGAATAATTTGGGATGTAGTGTCTTTGTGTCTTTCTAGTAAGAGGAACAAATGTCATCATTCATTGGAGCGTAGACTAAGAGACAATGCTGAAGTGAAGAGCACTTAGAGTGTAACGTTCAGAGCAGATAAGGCTGTAACTGTTGAGTAGGTTACTAAACCCCTGAGCGGCAGCATAAAGATTCTTCTGAGTCCATTAAATAGAAAAATCATGCAGCAAGTAAGATAAGACTTTTCTTAAGTATTATCTTCTCTCTACAACAATAGTCTATCTGGATATATGTCCTATCTTATGAAATAGCTGTGTACCACAGAAGATAAAGAAAAGAAAGTTTAAGTTGACTTGGATTTTAAATACTGACATATCTGCATTTAACAAAATCTTGAAAGAAATCTCTTTGAAAAGGGTGCTAATTTCAGAAAATAGAATTTGATTTGATTTTTGCAGTTTCTTGAATCCACTTTATTAGAACTGATGTACTGGTTTGAAAATTTCATACATAAACTTATCTAAAGTGAATTTCTATATGAAAATATTATACCTGTGACTTTCAGTATTTTTCATTTATCAAAAGATAAGTCAAATAGACATTTTCTATTAAAGGAATTGGAGCCTGTGAATGTATATGATGGATGTCATTGTATAGTTGTCCTCTCATTTCCCAGATGTGTGAAATTCATATTAAAATTTCTCTAGCCTCTGTCTTTTTCCCTGAAAACTGGTCTAAAGTGGTATGTTGGTGTTACCTTTTTTTCCGCC